CACGGGCCCAAGGATGTTTTAGGGCCAATCAAACAACTCCTAATAATATTATGATATCCCCGGTAATTATTAACAATAACTAAACTCTAAGCTTCGAAAAGTGTGACAATCCTTTCTTAGTCAGAATGAATATTCATGGTTAAAAGTATAAAGCTATAAGGATACTCCTCTTACACTTTAATGGGATTAAAAACTTCACCCTTGCAATACAAACAAAATATGCTCACCGAAACCATTAAATTACAAAAGTAAAAAATTGTCAGTAGCGACCGTTTTCCTTAATTTTTAGTTTTACTTGTGATAATACGTGTATTATTCTCCCTTTTGAAGTTATACTTCTTTAGGCGCGTTATGAAAAATTTATGAGAGTGAAATTTTACGATGCGCGCGCACCGTGACACAAAATTAACAGAATGAAGTTGCCCACTAAATCGCTCATTACAATACGTCCGACGTAACTTGGCGAGTCTGAATATAGCCGCAGGTGAACTTTCCGAACCGTACCGAGAATTACCGAATTTATACGATGTCAAGAAAAGGGATGTCCAATATGCGTATTTGAGGATGTTGTTTAATCGATTTTTTTCAAATTGATTAAAATATAAATAAAAAAAAAGAAATTAATTTCATAAAAATAAAGTATAACTTCTTACGCGCGTACATAAGTACACGCACCTTTTTTTTTTAAGCAAAAGATTAAACGAAAAGTTACTCGACTTGAATTTAAAACATCTAATTCCAGAAGCTCTTCGAATTTATGACCAACTAAACTGGGGGTGAATTATCGGTGCACATACGTAGACTTCCAAAGGCGGTCTTTAAACCATTCACCGAATAACAGTAATAAAAAAATAGCAAAACTATTAAAAAAATTATGCAGTTGGAACAGCGCCCCTAGCGGCAAACGTATGCAAACGTTCCAACTCCATACAAAATTGAGTTAACTTTTACGCTATCGAGAACGTTACAAAACTCGCACTAAGTACTCAGTACTGTCTACAAGCTAGTCGAGTGTGGTAAGCAAACTCTAAGTGAGACTAATGTCCCATATCTTAATAGGAATCTCGGTCTCATAATGTCCAAGTCATCAGCGTTTTCCGAAAATACCCTTCTTAAAGACCAAGGAGGTTTCTGCTGATTTCACATTCTGTTTTAATAACATCACTTATTTTAAAATTGAATCGAGGTCTGTAATTGGGTGCTAGATTGGAGATCGCGTTTTTTTTTAAATTAAATTTCAGAGTTACCTCGTAACCGACTTTGGAAAAAGCATTTTCGGGGGCTACCGACAATGGAACGATCTTCTACCGAGTGGGTATGTTTGTTCAGTAGACCGACGGTCCAATGTGCATTGTTTATGATTATATTTAAGAGTCGTTAGCGAAATTCGGATATATATTTTTATTGCTTAGGACGCGCTCACAGCCCACCTGGTGTTAAGTGGTTACTGGAGCCTATAGACATCCACACGTAAATGCGCCACCCACCTTGAGATATAAGTTCTAAGGTCTCAAGTATAGTTACAACGGCTAAAAAAAAATATGTTAGGGGTGGACAACCCTAATCACTTAGGGGTATGAAAAATAGATAGTAGCCGATTCTCAGGCTTACTGAATATGCATAAAAATTTTCATGAGAATCGGTCAAGCGGTTTCGGAGGAGTATGGGAACGAACATTGGAATTTTATATATTAGATTTTTATGAAAAATTATAATATGGAGTGAAATGAAATGAAATGAAGATGATTAATCTGAGACATTAATCAACTTGGATGAAATTAAATGAAATAAGATGAGATGATATGGGATGAAATATAATCTCAGTAAAGTGGTGGTCATTTACTGAGATTTTTTCAGTGGACTTTTTGGAGAATCCCGAGAAGCTACGTCCAGCGGCTTTGTTTCATTTTCCCACATTTGTGCACTTTCACAGATATTAAACAGTTAATAAACCACCATTATTACACATTTAAACCTGAACAAAACACTAAATAGCCAAAATTAAACAAGTCACACAACTTCACTCCTCGCTTTCTCGCCCAAAAGTCTTATACAGGTACGTGTCGCATCGGCCACAAATTACAAAATTAAATATATCAATGATAATTACGAATTACTATTTAACTTCTAGTGGTGTTGTTTTCGTATAAAATCACACCATACTCAATAAGTATGTTTAGAACTCCTTTTTTGGATGCCTGTGTTAGCTTGTTAAGTATCCATGGAACGGAATCTTTGAACTTGATTGTCACCCACATTAAGGGGTCAGACTGAATTGAAACTTCACACACTTATTACGAACTAATGATAATATAATAATTTAATAAAATGTCCTGATTATCCTCATCAGGATCGAGGTACGAACGGTTAAAACATGGTAACGTCTTGTGCCACGGACTAATGCATGTTTTTTTTATTGCTTATTTGGATGGACGAGCTCACAGCCCACCTGGTGCTAAGTGGTTACTGGAGCCCATACAATGTAAATGCGCCACTTACCTTGAGATATAAGTTCTAAGGTCTCAATATAGTTAGTTACAACGGCTATCCACACCCTTCAAACCGAAACGCAATACTGCTTCACGGCAGAAATAAGCAGGGTGGTGGTACTTACCCGTGCGGACTCACAAGAGGTCCTACCACCAGTAATTACAAGAGGTCCTACCACCAGTAATATTTACAACTTAAATGCCGCCACCCACCTTGAGATATGACTTCTAAGGTTTCAGTATAGTTACAACGGCTGCCCCACCATTTAAACCGAAACGCATTACTGCTTCACGGCATATACGCGCTTGTTGTCTTCCTTGGATATGCGAACCTATTCTCAGACTCCTTCTTTGGAGTCGAACCCTGATTCGGCGTTAAAACCCCAATAGTCACGGACCCATTCATTGGATGGAAGAACTTGATTGATCAAAGTTAACTGGGAGAGTCTCGTGTAATGGTGATGCATTGGATGAAATGGTTAGATTACGAAACCAAAATCATATAATTACTGTATTCACATATGATGCACTAAAAATACGATTCTTCATTAATATCAAATAGTCATTATTATGAAAACGAAAATAAATAATAGTATGAGAAACTAAAAAAAACGCTTTTTTAGCTAATACTAGAAGCTAGTGGAAATAATTATCTATAAGTTAAACTAAATATAGAGTGACTAATGAAAAAATCGTGGAATGTTTTTAATTTTTGTTAAAAAAAAAACCAATATCTGTCAGTAAAATATTTACAATAAACAACATCTAGTTTTTTTTTTAAATTTGTTATTTTGTTATAAAATTGTATGTATCTTATCGTTAATTGTTTTTTATTAAAACTATTTATGAAATTACCTAGAACATCAAACTACCACCTCGTGTCGTCATTGTAATACGATCTTATATTAAATAATAATTTAATAGAAAAACTCATAAGATGTAACATTTTTACATTTACATTTATTTTTTGTTAATCTTAACTTTAGTCAGAATGTTTATAAAATATAAAAAGAAAATCACAGAATTAAAACTGAATTAAGTAAAGAAACACCAAAAGAAAAACAGAAAAAAGTATCTTCCAATGGCACGATGCAATGGATATGATTTTGAAGTCGTCGTGGCCTAAAGGATAGGACGTCCAGTGCATTCGTGTTGAAGCGATGCACCGGTGTTCGAATCCGAGGTACCAATTTTTCTAATGAAATACTTACTAGATAAATGTTCACGATTGACTTCCACGGTGAAGGAATAACATCGTGTAAAAAAAATCAAACCCGCAAAATTATAATTTGCGTAATTACTGGTGGTAGGACCTCTTGTGAGTCTGCACGGGTAGGTACCACCACCCTGCCTATTTCTGCCGTGAAGCAGTAATGCGTTTCGGTTTGAAGGGTAGGGCAGCCGTTGTAACTATACTTGAGACCTTAGAACTTATATCTCAAGATGGGTGGCCAATTTACGTTGTAGATGTCTATGGGCTCCAGTTACCACTTAACACCAGGTGGGCTGTGAGCTCGTCCACCAGTCTAAGCAATAATATATATATACTACAAGATATGAGCCAAGTACGTAAGGCAGGCGGTCATTCGCAAAACTTATGTCAAGTTCTTAAATGCCGACTCTACTTAATGTGGGAAAAGGGCAAGAAGAAGTCATCATTGTAGTCTATATTCTTACTAGCAGTTCACGTCATTAGGGATCCTCCCGATCTATTAACGGTGCTTTTAGGTACCACAAGCACGGGTCACCGTCCTCGTCGAACCCGTCGTTTGCGACGATGGGCTCGACGAGCGAAGCGAATTAACCCATAGACATAGCCCACTGAGTTTCTCGCCGGATCTTCTCAGTGGGTCGCGTTTCCGATCCGGTGGTAGATTCTGCGAAGCACTGCTCTTCCTAGGGTCAGCGTTAGCATCACTCCGGCTTGAGCTCCGTGAGCTCACCTACTAGCTAGAATACCTCTAGTAGAATACCTCTACTAGAATACCTACCCTCTCAAGAATAGAATAGAAGGTTAGAAAGTCTTGTATATTAATTGTTTTTTAAATTAAGAAACTAAATACAATAATAAAAAAATATAATTAACAACAAAATACATTTTTTTCATCTGTTCACACTGGTTTACATTCAGCTTTGTCGCTAAAACAGTGATTATTTCACATGGAGACAGGTCCCACGGCATCTGTTATTTAAAAGTAGAACTAAAAGCGCCGACATGTTTGATTTTGCCGTCGGAGCGGTAGTGTTGAACTCATAAGACATAGAAATCAATAGAAACTTAGTTTATTACTTATTAAATACATAAAATTAGGATGACATTTATATCGTGATATTATTAATTAGTTTTTTAAATAAAACCTAATTTCATAGAGCGTAAGATGCAATTTTAGAAAATGAATAAAACTTGACGAACGCTGCGACATCTTTTATTACCTTTTGGTAATAAAACTGTAGTTCACATTCCAATCGTGGCGCTCACAACCCAAACAATAAATTCCAACATGGTGGCAATGTGCTACACAGTTTGAAAATGCAGTCCGTGTCATGCCGTGAAAAAAATCATTTAATGCTTGAATTTGGTGGAAAATGTCGGACCCTAAACGTGTTACTCTTATAACAGTGGGTGCTCCAAAAAGTGTGAAGAATAACGTGAGAAAAACAGTGAGATTAACCATAAATTTGGATGAAAGCAACGAAAGTAAATATCCGGAGCTGAATTACAGGGAACTAGTCATTGTAGAAGAGGTAAGTTATAACAGAAAGTCATAGCATTTTACGCAACCATACTGCTTTTCCAGCTCTTTGTGACACAAGGAACCCGGTATAAAAATATCCGGACGAAAGAGTTGATAGATAAACAGACACAGATGATTTTTTGAAGTCATGTCGAGATGGGCTTTGGATATTTTTTGCCTACGTTACACGATTTTGTATTAGGTTTGTGACATGAATTTGCGTCCACGAACTGTACGAGAAGCCCAGATAGCGGTCGCCATGTTTGCAACAATCATAGAATTCTGTTGTCAGCTTAGGCCACAGTGACGAGAGCTCAATGTTTTGATTACCAACACTGGTTATGAAGTTGTTTTTCGTCGAAATTTATAAATTTATAAGCAAATTATATTTCACGATGTAAGTGCATTGATAATGTCACGACTGTGTAGTACATACGGTACGAAAATAATTCGCGAAAGTGCTTCTACGATGACCTAGGCTAACCTACGTGCAGGGTTTCCGGTAAAACGATACTTTTTAGGTTATTTTAGTTCAATTAATAATATTTATAAAGCAAAAGAACATCATTAAATCATTTTGTCATGAATACGCAAGTTAAACTTCATGTACTGTATTTAGATAGCATCACGTGTGTACAGACAGGTTTAATGTACAATTAATATAGTCGTACTGCTCTAACTCTTTGATTTGGTACAGAAATTAATGTTTGCTGTACTATTTTTGCGGGACCTAATTAGAAAGGACCATTATATACATAATTATAACGTTCGTATTTTGTAATGCGGTTGTGTGTGTGTGTATGTTCGCGGTCTTAAGTCGTTTTGTTATCGAGTTGATATCCTTCAGAAAATTGGTAGTGTAGTTTGTATTCGCGACCTTTCGCTTTTCTTTTCTGTTCAATCGATATAGATAAGCGTATATGGATAACTTAGTGCTTATGCATTGGGTGTGCAACGTTTTATTTATGTGCGCGTTTGCCTGTGTGCGTGTACAAGTTTTATGTTAATGTGTTTGTGTGTTCTTTATAAAGTTTGTATAGGTGGATAATTGTAATAATGGTAGTGATTTGTGACAAAAAAAAATTGTATTGTACTGAAATGTCACCATTATACTAGGAAGTATATTTGTATTGGAATAGGTGTGTTAAAATACTATATCCACACTCGGTGCCTTTTTATTGTATTAATATTGTAATTGCATTTATTTATTTTGTGTGGTTGCTTTCAATGACGTAGGTATGTTATTGATGGGTATTTTTTATGTGCTGTTAACTTTTTTTTTTTAAAACATACAGCTCGACAAAGTCGTTTCGTGCCATATTTTGGCCTTTATCCAATTCGAATAAGATCTATATTTCTATGAAAAAACTTTGTAGGATTATTGACGTGCGCCGCGTGGCTTGATTAAGGTTCATTTTCGCTCGTAAATCTACAATTGTTGAGTGCACCACATTATGACTTTTATGTAGAAGAAATTGGTACCATTTTTATTTGCTTTCTGTTTTTAATGATGTGTAAAGAGGCTGGCTCTTATTCGGAAAGACTAAAGTTGATAATCGTGTAAACCAGCTCACTGAGCATTTAGTGCATTACGTACTTAGTATATTAATTAAGTTTAGTCGCTTATTTATACAAGTTTGAGATCATACGGGTAAAATTTTAAATGTTAAATGTTTCACATANCAGCTCACTGAGCATTTAGTGCATTACGTACTTAGTATATTAATTAAGTTTAGTCGCTTATTTATACAAGTTTGAGATCATACGGGTAAAATTTTAAATGTTAAATGTTTCACATATTTACATATTCACTTATTGTCAGTTGTTTTGTAGGCATAGTAATAATAATAAACAACTAGTCGCTTTATTGAATTGTTATTATGAACAACATGTTGTCATGCATAATATGTTTAGCATAAAGTTTATTTTTGCGTGTAGTTACTTGAAAGACTACACGCGAAAATGGACTTTATTCCATTCATTCTGTTAAGTTTTATTTTGTAAGCATACTTTTAAACGATAAGAATGACGTAATTTTACGTTTATACAACAATGTCTATCTATGAAAACCAAGCTTGGGATTTGATCATGTTAGAAAAGAGCCTTAAGTCATACTGATAGAATTTAAAATTGCATGATAACATTGGAAACTCCACATTTTTATCATGCTCTCACACTCTAGGTATTCCTCATCCTATTCCCACTAACTTAATTTAGTGACGTATTTTAACGAATTGCTATAGATATTGCTTAAATGAGAATAGGATATAAATAAAATTGTACTGTTTTTTTTTAAATTTAAGTCATAGCAACATAATTTTAATGCAAATACCTTTTTTTTTTTTACTAACAATCACGCCACGTTAACTGGTCCCGTGATAAGTTCGTAAAGAACTTGTGTTACAAGTACCAGATAACGGATATAAATGTAAGATTTTTATTATACACATACATATATTTAATAGACATCCATAACCCTGGAAAAGACATTTGTATTTATCATACAAATATCTTCCCTTGGCGGGATTCGAACCCGCGACCCCCTTGTGTAGTGACCATGTCACTTACCACTACACCAGACGGCCGTTAACCTAGTAATAAGGTGCAATTTAATATCTATTCGAAGCATATTTCGTCAAAAAATAGATTTGTTCCTAACAAATACTAAGCACGTGGGATAATAACAATCGAAATGTATTATTATATATTAACACATTAAAAATAATCTTTATATCTACTTCAACAAGGTTGTTAATTTTCTGCGTTTTTTTCTTTTTCTACAACACCTCGCTCACTGAGGTTCAATGAACTCGCAATGTTGGTTGCGTAAGTGGTATCTCGCAATTTTATTATTGTCATTGCTTGATAGATTCGAATTTAGAAGCATAGGTTGTTTTTTTTTTTTTTAATGTTCGTTTTTATCAGCGTACATCGCACAGCGATTCTCAAATGTTTTTCTAAGCTTATTTTTTTGGGTAGACTGCGCCTTTGAACTTTTTTGGGTGTGGCATCATACTTGATGTTGCATAATTTGTAGTTAATGATTTTTAATGTTTGAAGTCGATGTTTCCGAAGCACCGTGGTGAAGTCGATTACTCTTGATACATTTTTTTTTTCCTGCCTAAGCTGATAGCCTTGAGAGGCTATGTCAGCGTAACGGGTAACCTGACGAGTGTTACGCGATGTAACTAACGTACTAGGAATGAAAATTCGTTAGTGAAATAAATTAGGAAGGAACTTTACTCTTCTGCATTTGTAAATTTTTTACATTTTACATTTTACTGGTGGTAGGACCTCTTGTGAGTCCGCGCGGGTGGGTACCGCCCACCACTCTATTTCTGCCGTGAAGCAGTAGTGCGTTTCGGTTTGAAGGGTGGGGCAGCCGTTGTAACTATACTTGAGACCTTAGAATTTATATCTCAAGGTGGGTGGCGCATTTACGTTGTGAATGTCTATGGGCCCCAGTAACCACTGAACACCAGGTGGGCTGTGAGCTCGTCCACCCATCTAAGCAATAAAAAAAAACCAAACCTAGTACGAAACAAAAAAATTGGTCAAATTGCAATACCACTATTATTTGAAAACATTATAATTTTTTTTTTTTTTTCAAAACAACAGTCAAACAAATTCCAGAGCTGCTGTGAGCAAAGAATTCGTAGTAATTTGCGGGAAACCCGTACTCATTGCTAAGAAAACTACGGCACTAGACGGTTCATCATTGTCGTTAAAGGTTCTCGGTTTGATGTTACAGAGGAGGAAAAGACAAGAGAATGGAAAGACTGCCGGACTCGACCCGTTTTCGGACAACGATGACGACGTCGAAAGGGAGGCACGTAAATTTGAACAGAAATACGTAAGTACATTTTCGAAATTCTGAACTACTGCTTTAGGAACTTCGCCGTCGTTATAGACACTAGCCTGCTTAGATCGTCGCCGGTTACGATTGTTCCTGGACGCTATCACTGTCATGTCGGTGCTGAACGCTAAGGATTTCAAATAGCCATGTATAAGCGTGTGTGTGTGTGTTTGTGTGTGTGCGTGTGTTTGTGTGTATGCGTGTGTTTGTGTGTGTGCGTGTGTTTGTGTGTATGCGTGTGTTTGTGTGTGTGCGTGTGTTTGTGTGTATGCGTGTCTTTGTGAATGTGTTTGGGTGTGTGTGTGCGCGAGGTTGTGTTTGTGTGCGTGATTTTGTGCTTGAAGGTGCTTGTGTGTTAGTCCGCGAGGGTATTTGTGTGTGTGTTTGTGTGCGCGATTGTATGTTGTGTAAAACACTTATTATTCCGTATCTATAAATTGGTTCACGGCAGAATTGTGTCTGACGACGGTGCATAATACAGCGATGCAACGTGACGTTATTGATAATATATGTTAAATGTTATCTTGCCTTAAAAATGTTAATGTCTTATCGAAAAGTGACGCGCTATTGATTCATTTTATGTTTAATGATTTTGTTTCGTCTTAGGGAGGTAAAAGCACCTACGGCAGAAAGGGAAGGTCGAAAATGGATGAATTCGCCGACATCGGTGCTGGATATGATGAGACTGACTCGTTTATTGACAACACACATGGAGTAAGTAAAATCATAAACATATGTCTTTTTTTTTTAAAGAATTTGTCTCCAATGCCTTTGGCATTGATTTTGCCAATGTCAAAGTATGTATAAAAATAACAGATGCTTATAGAGAAAAAAATATATCTTTTAAGATTTCGGAGAGTACGCAATGGTAGGCAGAGACTTGGCTGGACTTGGCCATTATCTTTAGGTGGGCCGTATGCTCGTCAAAGAAACCATTTTATTTGTAACTTCGTTTTTTTATAACCTTTAATTGTAACTAGGATGTTGTTGTGAAAATGAATGAGACCCCAAATATTGTGGTCCGAACAGAAAATTGATAAGGATTTATTTATCGTTTAAAATTTTTATTATTATGTTTATGGAAACGAAAATGAATGTCGATTCGTGATTGTTCGATTAATAGATCTCAGACTGCCGTCACCGTGCCGGGGGTCGTAGGGACCACGGGGTGAATGTTAACCCCTTTTAAATTGATTTGTAGTAATGTCGTATGAAAGTATCACCTTCGCAGCAGATATAGAAGGAACCCACTAGTGGGGGACCTCAATACGCCCCACCGCGACTTCGTTTAGCGAAACTCAGTGATGATGAAGTAAGGGACCGCGTCCATTAGTGGGCGAAGGTGTATGACGATGATGTTTGGAACCTTTGGGTCTGCGGAGGGACTTCGGTTCCCTCTGTATTTTGTACCGCATGTTCCATGGGGAGTGCTCTGAGGAATTGTTTGAGATGATACCGGCATCTCGTTTTTACCATCGCACCGCCCGCCACCGGAGTAGAGTTCATCCATACTACCTGGAGCCACTGCGGTCATCGACATTGCGTTTCCAGAGGTCTTTTTTGCCACGTACCATCCGGCTATGGAATGAGCTCCCCTCCACGCTGTTTCCCGAGCGCTATGACATGTCCTTCTTTAAAAGAGGCTTGTGGAGAGTATTAAGCGGTAGGCAGCGGCTTGGCTCTGCCCCTGGCATTGCTGAAGTCCATCGGCGACGGTAACCACTCACCATCAGGTGGGCCGTATGCTCGTCTGCCTACAAGGGCAACAAAAAAAAAAAAAGTGGTCGTATAGTGTCCACGAAAAAGCAACGAACTAAAAAAGGAATCTAGTTAAAATCTTGCCTAATTTATTGGTGGAGGCGATTTGCCGTAACCACGTTTTATTTATTTATTGCATAGATGGGTGAACGAGCTCACAGCCCACCTGGTGTTTAGTGGTTACTGGAGCCCACAGACATCTACAACGTAAATGCCGCCACCCACCTTAAAATATAAGTTCTAAAGTCTCTGTATAGTCACAACGGCTGCCCCACCCTTCAAACCGAAACGCATTACTACTTTCCGGCAGAAATAGTCAGGACGGTGATACCTACCCGTGCGGACTCACACGAGGTCCTACCACCAGTAATTACGCAAATTATAATTTGGAGGATTTGATTTGTAACGGAGGAATTTCCTCTACCTTATCAATGGTTATGAAAAGATAAATTATCTGTCAAGCTCTCGACTGCTGGCAGGTTCTCTATGATGCCGGGTACATCCAGACTACTATATGTCGGAGAAGCCACAATATTAACACCATCGTCAGACATCGTAGAGGCGAATAGGGTGATCGAGCTAAGATAAATATTGAGTACACCAATCACGTTTGCTGAACAATTTAGAAATCTTCTCTTGACGTTAATAAAAGAAACCGAACGACAGCTCTTAGGACGGAGGCACCGCTCTTCAAGAAGTCTGGTTGGTAAGGGTGATGGCGTCTACGCGCCTCCATCGGCTAGGCTCTGTCGTGGCACGAAGTTTTTACTGGTGGTAGAACCTCTTGTGAGTCCGCACAGTTAGGTACTACCACCCTGCCTATTTCTGCCGTGAAGCAGTATTGCCTTTCGGTTTGAAGGGCGGGGCAGCCGTTGTTACTATACTTGAGACCTTACAACTTATATCTCAAGGTGGGTGGCGCATTTACGTTGTAGATGTCTATGGGCTCCAGTAACCACTTAACAACAGGTGGGCTGTGAGCTCGTCCACCCATCTAAGCAATAAAAAAATAAAAATAAAAAGTTCCGACGATACCGCGATCGTGCTGCCATCTCTCGGAAATCGTGCTGCGTTTCGTTTAGCTACCAAACTAATGACCGTCTCCGACATCTAGAATAAAAATATTTTTGTTCGCAGTACGATGAGATGATCCCGCCCGACCGCGACACTCTACACGGTGGGTTTTACATCAACTGCGGCGATTTGGAGTTCAAGAACCTGCCCAAGAACCAGCTGGCGACCTCGGACGGCGAGGCGGGCGGCAATCGAAGGAATAAAGTTAGTTTTTCCTCCTTACTTTGATTTCACCGTTAAAGATAAGTCAGTAGTAGTTATAATGAGATATATCTAAACTCTTCAATACACAGATAAGTTTTAACCCTTTGACTGCCATGTTTGTCGATTTCTGTTACTAAGGCGCCGGAATATCTAGTAGACTCTGAGAAAGACGAATCTGAAGATACTGAGAATGAATCTATTTCTAAGAGACTTAAGAGAACTAAAACTACATTAACAAACAAAAGAAGGCAAAGTTAGGCAATCTTCAGGTGCTTAATAACAGAAATTGACTGAAGTACTTCAGTGCGCCGCGTGGGTCACCGGTGACCTATACTGCAGTCGAAGGGTTAATAGACAAGGAAATATAATGAATCTTAAAAACAATTTAATTTATTGGGAAATTATGTAGAATGAAAAATAATTTCGATGAAACATTCTGTCATAATATATGATGACGTTATCTACGTCAATTTTTTTTTCTACATATTCTTTGGTAACCTAAGAAACTATCTACGCCCAGACGGGTAAGTGAGCTCCCGGGCTCAACCTGACAGAATTTGCTGACACTGGCCCTAACCGGAGCCGTGCTTCGCAGAATCTACCACCGGATCGGAAACGCGACCCACTGAGAAGATCCGGCGAGAAACTCAGTGGGATGTGTCTGAGGGTTAATTTACTCGTCGAACTCTTCGTCGTAATCCTCCTCGATTATGGAATACAATAATTATTATTTTGAAAAAATCAGCTAAACCAATAAGAATAAAAAAATAAAAATAAAAATCATTTATATATAAGTTAAGTGTAAAATGAAGATCTATTCCATGCAGTGTTCGACAACTGCACCCGGCTTCTGGCAATGTGCGGCTGCCTATGCGTATAGTTCATATTCATAAACCACAAACAATAACAGCGATTGTCAATTAATAATAATTTTAAATGTTTATTAATAGATCTAAACTGTTACGTACAGCTACCATTAAGATATTATCATGTATTGGCAGTCACTCATTGATTTTCTCTCTATATTTACAGAGGCGGATATCGTCGAGTAGTAGCGAAGAGGACTCTTCAGAGAGCTCGTCGGAGTCGGAAAGCGCTGAAGAGAAAGACCCGAAGGTCATCGCTAATGGCGCCGTGGATTCACATAAGACTGAACATCGGAAAAAGGTTACTTGTTTGATTCCCTCGCTCTCTCTCGACGTGTAGGTGGCATCAGGATGCCACTCTAGAGTGACGTCATGTCTCCGGGCGGCATGTCTGTGGATTCCGCTTAGCCGATTGTAGAGACATAAGCACGTTCAGACAAACAAGCCAAAAAAAATATGTGTGGTGTCGTGGGACACCGGATAGGAAGTAAGTACGAAGTTCCTTATTATTAAAATATTATTTTTAAGTTCTGTTCGAGGTATAAAGAAAATAATTATTCGGATATACACTTTTTATTATGATTTTTTATTCATAAAAATAAAAAATAAAAATCTTACGTTACGGACGTTTTTCCCGGTTAGGGTACCCCTCCGCATAGTCCCATAAGGAACTTCGTTCCAAAAATACATCGGGTTCCACTTCTCCATTAAGTGTCTACAGAAGTCGGAACGCTACTGAGCACGCCTGTGATTTCATTTCAGCAGTATTTCAATAAATAATAGTTTAGAAAAACTAACAAGATACGCTTTTATAGAAAATCCAACTATAAAATAGAAAATAAATTTGAATTAAAATTAGTGTAAGAAAAAATGATTTTATTGTAAAAAAGGCGTTTTGAAGGGGGTCAGAATCATTTTCAAAGATTCCGTTACATACTAACATATATCGTCTGAAGCTAATAAAACCGTATTAATAAATTAATTCTGAGAAACGGTGCGATTTTTATGTTTGATTTTTTATCTCACATTGGATGATTAATATATCGTTTGTTTACAGAAAAACAAAAAGATCGATAAGAACAAAGCCAAGAAGGTTCGCAGGACTGACTCATCTGCGGCGACGTCAGGGAAACAGACCTCCGATGGTGAGATACACAAATGAAATTATCAAACGCATTTATTATTGACTAGCTGACCCGGCAGACTTCGTAGCGCCTCAATCGATAAATAAAAGACCTAAACTTTTGTATAAAATAAACTTAAAACAAACAAAAGGAATCCGTCCGACGGGGGACACATCAAAGGAAAAACAAAATTGTTATTTTTATTGAATTTTGAGAATTTTCATATTTATGTACCTTTTAAACCTTCTCTGAACTTTCACAAATAATTCAAGACCCAAATTAGCCAAACCGGTCAATCTGTTCTCGAGTTTTAGCGAGACTAACGAACAGCAATTCATTTTTATATATAGAGATTTGTTTTCTCCGTAACTTCAGAATGTGTAGTTCTGAAATATCGGAGAAGCATTCTTCCAGTTTGAGATTTCGACCTCACGCCTCAAGGGGAAAATGACAATCACCATATTAAAACTTACTTGAATTAATTTTTTTTATTGCTTAGGGGGTGGACGAGCTCACGGTCTACCTGGTGTCAAGTAGTTACTGGAGCCCATAGACATCTACAACGTAAATTCCCCCAACCACCTTTTGAGATATGAGTTCCAAGGTCTCAGTATAGTTACCACGGCTGCCCCCTCCTTCAAACCGAAACGTATTACTGCTTCACGGCAGAAATAGGCAGGGCGGTGAAGCCTACCCCTATATTTTATAATGTAATATAGATATATAATACATATCTACACTTGAAAGGCAAACGTGACTAAGCGACAATGCGTGAACTTTACAGTAGACTAATTTAAAGTTGAAATACCTGAAAACAAAATTTATTTTAACGAAACTAGCTGTAGTAGAATCTAGCTAGTAGCTGTAGGAGTGAAATTATTTTAGTAGACCTAGAAATATGTATATATTTTTTGCGCATCGACTATGGTTATTGCCTATCATTTATGTACATGAGTGAACTCCACGGTGTTTCCCGAGCGCTATGACATGTCCTTCTTCAAACGAGGCTTGTGGAAAGTATTAAGCGGTAGGCAGCGGCTTGGCTCTGCTCCTGGCATTGCTGACGTCCATGAGTGACGGTGACCACTTACCATCAGGTGGGCCGTATGCTCGTCTGCCAACAAAGGCTATATAAAAAAAAAAATAGTTATTGTCGCTTAGTCACCTTTGCCTTTTAAGCGTCGATATAATTATTAGTTGCTATGGGGACATTTGTGGTCGCTACATTATTATTAAGTTGTGTGTGCGTTGCGGCAGATAATGCCGGCGGCGACGCGGACAGCGGCGACTCGCGGAGCTCGCGCTCGGACTCGCTGGCCTCCAAGCCGCCGCCCAGCTCCGAGACCGCCGCCACCTCCGACAGCTCCAGGTGATTTGTACCCCTTTTTACGAAAATTGCGCGGACCTAGGAGCATGAAATTTCTCACACTTATAAATAATATAGATATAGGAGTGCACAATGCTAATTTTTTTTAAATTATGCATTTATTTATTTATTTATTAAATAAATAAATAAATAAAATGCATTAAAAATACAATAATATACTATATTATAAAATACAATAATATATAAATAAAGGAAACATTACACAAACTACCGTGTATTTGGACACAGACACATAGACTCTTTGTTTATTGTCAAACTTTTGTTATTGCTTAATAAAGTCTGTGATCAAATTGAGAATAGGTTAATATTGTTTATCTTTATTAATATTCGAATATAGTGTAGTCTTAGCTAAATCTGTGACTATAGAAGTATAATAGTCTTTGACAATAGAACCATAATAATGTTCAAACTTGTAATTTCAATTAATTATAATCAAATTTCGACTACTGCGAGACCACTAGTCTATACTAATATATAAATCTACAGTGGTTTTTACGGATGTTCCGTTATAACTACTGAAACATCATCCGATTGACTTGAAACTTGGTATCCATGTAGAAAATACATGTACTTAATGGATAGGCTATACGAGTGAGTGAGTGACAGTAAATGATCACCATTTTATTGAGATTATATTTCATACCATATCATCTCAGTCCATAGTATCATTTTTCATAAAAATAAGAATATAAATTAAAATAAGACTAGACTTAAAGGTGTTGGTTACCATGTCATTAAACCCCTTAAAAAAGTGTGTGTATAGACGATAGTGGGGATGCTACGTAGAGTCGCACAAAGAGGAGACCGAGAACGTTTAATGTGTTCTATCTCATTCTCTCACCTTCTGAATCCTATACATTTATGTGTTTGTGTCTCTATGGACTTATTTTTTCGTCTCATCTAGTTTGACATCGGAACGATTCTAATTTTTTATTGCTCAGATGGGTGGACGAGCTCACAGCCCTCCTGGTGTTGAGTGGTTACTGGAGCCCATAGACGTCCACGGCGTAAATAAAAGAATAAATTCTAAAGAAGTTCCACTTTGAAAATGAAACAGGGACGTGGAAAGCAAGTGTGCGGTGGAGCTCCCCGCGAGCGTGACGGCCGTGCTGGACGCGATAGAGGCGGCCGTGGCGCAGCTGCCCCGCGCGCCCCCCGCACCCCCCGCGCTGCTGCTGCGCGCCGCGGAGACGCACGTCGCCAGGTACGCGCCGCACTACACTATACGTCACCACGGGGCCGATAGCCGTCGGAGCCCCGTGACTCGGCAGGAACGTCGACGTATCTACAGTCACGAGAACCCTCTCATCGTGGCCGCCGGTAACTACATTCTCGATCCTGCGGACAAAATGGAAAGCAGTCGACGTCGCCCTAAACACGTTATTACGGATCCTCTCGATCCACTAAGGGTGCTTTTAGGTAACTCAAGCACGGGTCACCTCAGTGGGTTGCGTTTCCGATCCGGTGGTAGATTTTGCGAAGCACTGCTCTTACTGGGACCAGTGTTGGCAACAGTCCAGTTTGAACCCCGTGAGCTCACTTACACGTCACGGAGAAGCTGAAATAGCCTTTTAAGGCTATCAGCATAGACAGGGAAAAAAAACTATGAAATGTTGTGATTTTGTAATAATATTTTTAATTCTTGTAATGATAACATAATATGAGGTTAAAATATTTGAAAATATAACGAGGGAAAAAAGAAGCGTATGATGTTGCTCGGTAGACCGACGGTCCGAATACTGTCTGTCGTTCGGAACTTCGATATATCACGCAACAATCTTGAATTTCGAAAACGTCGGAAGAAAAATTCGGGCATCTGTCAGATTTCTTGTATTGTATTATATAGCTATTCGCCATAAATCTTATAACATATTTTGTTAAACTTTCAAATACAAAAAATCATCTAAATAATATATCTGCAGCCATTCTCATATAAATGAACAAAAAAATAAAACCAACATACTGCATTGCAAGCTATTTAAATGTTCAGCTAAAGTTAATTTGTTGATTTGTGTCGGCACGCAGACTGGATCGCGTGACGTCACAGAGCGGGCTGGAGCGCGCCGGGCGCCGCGCCGCGTGGGCCCGCGCCGCCGCCCTGCTGCGCACGTCGCGCGCCGCGCTGCTGCACGAGCTGCGCCAGCCCCGCGGTGAGCACGAGCCCGGGGACAGCAGCATCAAGAAACTGTGCTTATTTAAAAATTACTGGTGGTAGAACCTCTTGTGAGTCCGCGCTGGTAGGCACCACCACCCCGCCTATTTCTGCCGTGAAGAAGTAACGCCTTTCGGTTTGAAACCACTTAACACTAGGTGGGCTGTGAGCTCGTCCACCCATCTAAGCAATAAAAAAAAAGTAAATATATCGACTTTACAGCTTCCACTCCTACGACGATTGCTCAAGCGACGCCCGCCCCCGCGCCCCCCGTGCCCCCCGCGCCCTGCCCCGCCGCCACCCCCGCACCCCCGCAACAACGCAACAAGAGAAAACAAGATGAATTTACGAATAAAGATTATAGTCATCTAAGCAGTATCGAGAGGGAAGTTTTTATTGTTGAAACTTTACACAGGTTAGTAACAATTCATTAAAAGTTTACACTTCCATTAAAATCATTCTCGTGACCTTAGGGTCGTTCCATACTCCTCATTTCATTAAAATATTGACAATAATAATTATATTTGAACAAACTGACAATAGTATGTAATCGATGTTTCTTTACTGTAAAGATACTCTACTGTACAAACACAATTCTGTTGCAGTTTTACATTATTACAATGAACTGAAAAAAGTAATTTTAATTGTGTTAATGTTATTAGAGTAAATAACTATAAGAATAACTATTATACATTATAATTTCCCAATACCAACCGTTATGATGCTAAATAGTATTGTAATGAGATGGGTAGCTGCCAGATTTCATCGAGCCACTACGATATCACAACTAACTCTAGTGTCGTTTTCTCGTCAGGTTACAGGAACTGATAGATGAAAGAAAACCTGCTATGATTGCCAGCTACAATGCGGAGTGCGAGAGGGTGCAGGAGGAAAGGTGAGCCGGACATTTCATTACTGCAACATTCAACGGGCTGAAGCAATATTTTGTACTTGTCATGTGTTCATGGATAATTTCAACAATGAAGGAATAACTTCATGGAAAATATTTAAGGAACAAAATTTACAAAGTTTCGGAGCGTCAAGGTGGGCGACAACTGACAAGCCTGCGTAGTGTTGTCCATAAACTCGGGTAGTTAGTTGCCTTATATGCTGAGAATGATATTAATAACTACCTCGAGGTATGAAGCTCATGTCAGTTGAAATGATTCTCTTAATTTGAAAATTGCATTGTCAACCGAGGATAGTATACGGGCCATCATATTGCATACCGATGCATTTTACATCAAAGTCAATCATTTTCGAGTCGCGGTAGACGACCGCCATCAGCAAGGCGTCGCGTACTCGCATAATGTCATTTCATAATCAGATCAATCAATCATAATCAGTGTGTAATCATATCAATAAACCATTAATCAGTATTGGAGTTGTTATCATTATCACAACAGAGTGCTGGGTGGACAAACCGTATATCTTTTTTTGGTCCTTCGAGCCAGATCTGTTAAAAAAGCAGTAAAATTTCCAGAAAGAAGATCCAGATCGCGTCGGCGTCGGAGGGCGGCCCCGTGGTGGAGAAGCGGCTGCCGAAGCGGCGCTTCCCGTGGTGCGGGCGGGCGCGCGCGCTCGTGGGGCGCCTGGCGCGGCTGGCGGGCGGCGGCGCGGCCGGGGCGGCACTGCTGGCCGCGCGCGCACTGCCGCTCTTCCCCGCCGGCTTCGTCAGGATGCCCACCCTGCTGCGACAGGCAGAGTTAGTACCCTCCATGGATAGCTTATTAGAGTTATCGTACGGTATTTTGGGCGGGAACGCGAGGAGTGAAGTTGTGTGATTTGTTTTATTTTGTCTATTTAATGTTTCTTCAGATTTAAATATGTAAAAACGGTGGTTTATTAATTGTTTAATATGTGTGAAAGTGCACAAATGTGGGAAAATAAAACAAAGCCGCTGCACGTAACTTCTCGGGATCCTCCAAAAAGTCAACTGAAGAAAATCTCAGTAAATGAATTTTACTGAGATTATATTTCATCCCATATGATCTCATCTCATTTCATTCCAGTTAATTAATGTCTCAAATTAATCATCTTCATTTCATTTAATTTCATTCCATATTATCATTTTTCATAAAAAAAAGAATATAAATTAATGTAAGACATGACCTAAAGGTCTTAGTTACCAGGTCATAAAATTCCATAAAAAAAAGTTATCGTAATTCGTACCGTAAAATGGGGCGATTAGGGACAAATTCCAACTTTATGAGCAATTTTAAGGTAGTTGTTGATGTATATAATGCTATATCAGGATCAAAATGATTGAGTCTTGGGGGCATCTTTGTTGTCTAATTTAAAATTATGCAACTAGCATTCCAGTTTAAGCAAAAAATGCAAAAATAGGTGTAATCCCTATTTTCCCGAAAATTGCGGTTAATTGGGACGAAATGAGAAATTTGCTAGGGTTGGCACTACTTTTATTTTTATAAATAGTTTTAATTAATTAATTTATTTAGTTGCACCAACAAAGTGATCATCAATAAAAAAAATTGAAAAACTGACAAAAGTACATGGCAGATATCACCTCAATTATAGGTGCAATCGACAGTGCAGTAACAACAAAATATATATATACATATATAGCTTTCTTAGAAACGGTTTATATTTCTCCGTTCTTGGTAAGTACTTAGGGGCTGATATTTCTATCTGGGTTAAGAGATTAGGTGTGTCGGTTATTCCATGGATTAATCAGATGAATACCCCTCTGAACTCTCTGAATACTCTGAACAAATATTAAATATTTTATTATGTATTACTTAGACATTTTTGTCCACCTTGAGATTTCATTGATCTTGTTACATGTCTCTGCAAAATCGACTTACTTATATTAAATTGCTTATCTATTTCAACTAAAGACTTATTCCCAATTTCGCTTCGATAAACCAGATTTTTACCAACAAATTTAAAAAATATTGTTATAACTACATAGACAACCCTACAAACCTGTACCTATTTATACTTAGGTCGTTTCCATTTCACGTATTCTCATCCCAATTGACCCCTTTTTCGTTGTTATTTGTACCTAAGACGTCCCCAATATCCCCAAAAACAACAGATTTTTACATGTATTTTTATTTAATCAAATACATTAAAACCAATAACAACTGAGACTTACCTTTAATATATATGCTGGTTCAAACACTAAATAACGTTTATAAATCATAGTCGTCTTCTATTATTATCAAATAAATAAAAGAGAGCAAAGTTTCTAGCACTAAAATAATTACCACCACAGGAAGTTAATTTGAAACGCGATTTTTTATAAGTTAGCAGCTATTATCATGCAAATTCAGAGTTGTTTTGTGAACTTTCAACATTCTAATATTAAACTACAAAAAATGGAAGATTTTGCAACGATTATAAAACTTATATTGAGTGTCGAAAGATTTTCTCGCTTTTGTCCCGATTCGCCTCTCAATCCCTAATCGCCCCATTTTACCGGTATCTAACTCACATTTTTTTTTACAGCTTAAGCAAAGAACTGAAAGTGTCAGAACTGAAGCGACAGCGGCTCGGCTCGTCCCACGGCGCCGCGCCCCCCGCCCCGCCCCCCGCCGCGCCCGAGCCCATACACTTCCCGAGCTCGCTCACCGTCACCACGTCCACCAAGCCGCCGCTCGACAGAGCAGAATCCGTCCACACAGACGACTCCAAGTACAAACCCAACGTACTGAACAATTACACAGCGCGAAAGGATCTCGAGAAACCAGAAAGAAAAGAAGAAAAACTCAAAGACGATCTATACGTACCTCCCAACAGCATCGGCAGCATAACAATAACGCCCGTCGTCAATCAGAAAACAGAACCTAAACTCAAACAGGACAAAGGCGTGATTCGCGTGAGGTCGCCCGCCGCTCTCAACGATCTAGTTCAAAAAGAAGAAAAACCCAAAAAAATCGAAAAGAATCACACGAAAGACAAAATGGACGTACTGCACGTCGACACTTCGATCACGGTCAAGGAGGTTCCGAAACCCAACGAGGTGTCGCAGAAGCAGATCGAGAGCATGCGCATAGCCGAGAACAACATCCCCAGGCCGGCGCTGGTGCCCGTGCACCACTCGCCGACCTTCGCGAAGCCGGACAAGCGGCCCCCGGAGGTCAAGAAGAAGAAGGACGTGGTCATAGTGTCGGACCTGGACCCGCTGGCGGACAGCGCGCCGGAGCCCCTGTCCGTCGACGACAGCAGCAGCGACGTCGAGCTCATCGAGGACAAAACCGAAAAAAGTGATAAGTGTGAAGTGCCTTCCAAGGACAAGAACTCGCAAAAGAAAATGTCGAACAAGAAAGTTGATACCGACAGACAGAAGAGCGACGAGGCCAACAAGGACATCGAGACTATTATAAGGACCATTAAACAGATGGAGGTGAGTTGTTCTGCACGTTGCTAGCTCCCCGACCCCTCGCGGTAGGTCTCAGGCGTACAGTAGCAACACTCGGCCTATACAATAAAATTTGTGCTTGCGTGCGTGTACGTTCATGTGTGTGGTTGTGTGTGCATGCGTGTGTGTGGCTGTGTGTATGTACGTGTGTGTAGTTGTGTGTGTGTGCGTCTGTGTGGCTATGTGTGTGTACATGTGTGTTGATGTGTGTGGTTGTGTGTTCGTGTGTGTGTGTAATTGTGTGCGTGTGTGGTTATGTGGTGGTTTGTGTGTGTGCGTGTGTGGGTGTGTGACTATAACAGATTTTAATCCATTTTCCTGTAAAGGAAGAGTCCTCATTAACAACATTGTCTCAGAATAATGACAGGGCACTAACGTAGAATGTACATATTAGTCACAAGCACCATCACACCCTTCAGATAAATACTGAGTGAAAGCGTAAATGAGTCGACTATTATCAAAGCCGGCAATGTGACTTTTGGACAATTATTGGTAAATCAGAAAAACGAATTATTGACTTTGTATTCCATTGGCAGTCACAAAACTCTTCTGAACGACATCTTAGATAAATAACAGGTTAACTATTAACCTTTATTTAATGCAGGTTTTGAACCTTATTCTTTGAAGGAGACGATTATATTCAAATCAATCTGTATTGACATATCAATAAATTTTTTTTGTCCAAATGCACAGATTGCCACCTTTGATAATAGACGACTCAAATACGCTTTTGCGTATATTCTAAATAGAAATACCATTAAATGTCGATAAAAAGTAGGCAACGAATTCGTGAAACAAACACACGCATTATCACAAACCATTTAGTGTAGCCTCACTATAAAAGCTTAACTTGTAGCCAGTGAACTATCTCAACTGATTATCAATTCTCATAACATATTCATGATTTCCCACCACCTCATCCATGTTGCCTGTTCATTTCTATGTTAAAATGTTGTCTGGTTACTTGCAAGTCATACAAGGCACAAACAACACTTGTAGCGCTTAGTTACACATAACAGCGACTCCAATCTTGATTCTGGGAGATACAAATGCTTTGTGATAGAACCAGAAGATGGTAAACAGCGGTGTGGGTCATGTTGCATCTGAATTTGCAACAAATGAAATACATAATCGACTCTTGAAAGGCAAACGTGACTAAGCTTGTACATAAATGATAGGCAATAACGCAAAAAATATATATTTCTAGGTCTATTAAAATAATTTCAATCCTACAGCTAGATTCGTTAAGATATAATTTTTGTTCAGCTATTTCAACTTTAAATTAGTCTACTGTAAAGTTCACGCATTCTCGCTTAGTCCCGTTTGCCTTTCAAGCGTCGAATATATACAACATAAAGGAATTGAGATGACCCAATCATTTATCGATGAGTTGATGAGTCCATCCCCACTGTCTGGTCCCACTGAGCTCATTCGCACAACATTCTTAGAGTTCTGTTTCACATACCCTCCAGCTCTGGGATTTGCATCCCTCCACTGTTTTCCTAAAGCACTTGAGACATCTGTGGTTTCCAGTAACCACTTGAGGACACCAAGTGGACAGTTAACTCAATCATATAGACTCAAAAAATAATAATAATAAACGAATTTGAAAAGGTAATTCCTTATTGTTGCAGCACTCTCAAGAACAATCGAAAATGAACAGTAGTAACTCGTACGGCGGGATACCAAACGGTAAGGTTTCATTTGGAATACGGTTAATGAGTACATCATTAATATAAACACATTATCGTGTATTTATGTATTACCTTATGAATGGTCCCGCAATAATCGAAATTCAACTATAAATAATTGAAATTATAAGTTGAACATTATTAAGGTTCTATTGTCAAAAACTATTAAACTTCTATTATCACAAATTTCGTGAAGACTACAATAGTAACCTTTTTTTTAAGGGATTTTATGACCTGGTAACTAAGACCTTTAGGTCAAGTCTTATTTTAATTTATATTCTTATTTTTATGAAAATTAATATGGAGTGAAATGAAATTGAGATGATTAATTTGAGACATTAATCAAATGAGAATAAATTAAATGAAATGAGATGAGATAATATGGGATGAAATGTAATCTCAGTAAAATGGTGGTCATTTACCGAGACTTTTTCAGTGGACTTTTTGGAGGATCCCGAGTAGTTACCTCCAGTGGCTTTGTTTCATTTTCCCACATTTGTGCACTTTCACAGATATTAAACAGTTAATAAACCACCATTATTACACATTCAAACCCGAAGAAACACTAAATAGACAAAATAAAACAAATTACACAACTTCACTCTTCGCGTTTCCGCCAAAAAGTCACAATAGCAACCTATTGTCAATTTGACCACGGACTATAAGCAACAAAAGTTTGACAATAAACATAGAGTATACATAAACATACATATTATGTGCGTGCGTCAAATACATGGTAGTGTGTGTAATGTTTTTTTTATTGATTTAATGTATCATTAATACATAATTGAAGAAAAATATTAGCATTCTGCCCTCCTCTATATTCTCTATAAGTGTAGGAAACTTCATAATCCTCGGTGCGGCGCAATTTTGTAAAAAGGGGTACAAAGTTTTTGCTTCACGTATTAATATACAGACTAGCTGGCCTGGCAAACGTTGTTTTGCCCTATAAATTATTTCTGCAGTGCCATCTGCCGGGCCGATTTGTGAATCTAAACCATCCAGGGCGTCACCCAAACGCATACAAAAAAATCATTCAAATCGGTCCAGCCGTTTGGAGGAGTTCAGTGACAAACACACGCACCGAAGAAATCTATACTAATATATAAATCTACAGTGGTTTTTACGGATGTTCCGTTATTCTGCGAAGCACTGCTCTTGCTAGGGCCAGTGTTAGCAACGTCGTCAGGTTTGAGCCCCGTGAGCTCACCTACTAGTTAAGGTTACTCTGATATAGCCTCTCAAGGCTCTCAGCTTAGGTAGGAAAAAAAAGTGTGACGCGCGATACTGTATGTGAGCGTTAGTGAGGAGTGACTGTCCGTTTGTGTGATCCAGCGAAGCAGGACAAGTCTGCCGGGCAACACTACTCGAGGGACTCGTTCTTCGCTGACGGCCGCTCCGCCAAAGACAAGTTGTAAGTCGCCGCCATCCGATCATAAGTGTGCGCACGAGCTTGCACGCCACCCGCGGCCCCCAACTGCTCTCATTCTGCTTCAGTGTAGCATTCTGTAGTCACCACTCCATCGCTACTTATCTCGAAAGTCGATGTGACGTTCATTATTAGAAATACTTTTTACCTTATAATAATGATCGAAAAATTCTACATGAGCATTGAAATCAAAAAAAAATCAATAAAATAACTAAGTACATAATAGCAAAATGATTATGTTCTTTTTTTTATTACATAAAATAAAAAAATCAATTATAATTTTTCTCAGCTAACACGATATTAGTATTTTAATGTTAATTTTCCCAAAAAAAAAACTAATGTTAATTCTCAGTTATCATTTTATTCTCCTCAATTCAGACGCTATTGTACATGTGCCTGTCTATTGCAAGTATAAAAATCATAGTTCATTGACATTGATTTTTATAAGTAAATCTTATTTCCAGGCTCCAGAAACTCATAGATATAGTATATAGTCCCTAAATAATACTCTCGGCCTTTAAAAGAAATATATAAGAAAAAACACTAATACTAATAGTATTCTGAATCAAAATATAAAAAAAATATCAATAAATAACAGATTAGCTTATCGCCCTGCTTCGCTTGTGGCATTGATCATTTAATTCAAATGATATTGCACTTTTTTAATTTGGTGATGGTTTTAACTAAATACAACCAATCTTAAATATTATTGTAAATAAATATAACGGTAACTACGGAAATGGTCAACGCTTTATTTTTTCATTTGGTAAAGGGCTTACATCAATACGGCCATACAATTACACGATGTGCCATCACTTCAATCTCTGTCGCTCGTAATCGGTAAGTGTGTTTAGTGTGAGTTTTTTAACGTTCTCGATAGCGTAAAAGTTAACTCAAATAGGCAAACTTTCCAACTCCATACAAATATGAGTTAACTTTTACGCTATCGAGAACGTTAAAAAACTCTCACTAAGCGCACTATTCAAGTAGTCCCGAACTTGGATGTCTCTCACTGTTGCTTGGTAGAGAGTTGCTTTCGCCAACACCTTCAGATTCAACGTTCCGCCTCTTAGTTTTTGCCTTCAAACAAATCACTTCTAGAATTTTCTATTTAAATAACTCATAAATAATCGAATACTCATTATTGACCGCATGTAGTGGTATGTCCACACAGTTCTCACTGCTACCTACGTGGATACATTGCGTCTGCCCAAGCATATACAATAACTGTGTCAAATCCAGCAATTTTTTCCTAAACAGAATATAAATAGCACTATTCATAACTATGAACGCTTCGAGATTAAACTAAAAGTTACATATATTATGTAGATCTCATATGTAACTCACATTTAGCTTGACATGTCCAGTGTCGAAGGCTCTACCATAAAAAAAAAGTTTTCTGATTCTCTAACATTGAGTTCAAGTTTGGCAACACTACAAAAAACGTGTACAACTTTGAACTGAAGTTTAAATAAATAAACCTGACAGTGAAATGGATTTGAATCTTTAAACCGCTTGTATCTAGAGTTATCTCGAACTACGATTATTATTTGATTTGACTGCGAATATAATTTATAATTTAAATAACTCTGAAAACGCCCCAAGATAAATACACTACGTCCCTTAATCGACATTAGTACGTTCTCATAGACATTTCGAACACCCTGTATATAAATATGAACTCTCATTCCATAAGCTATCCACGTTTTGCTCTACGTGTAATAATAATAATTTTATTTCATCACGAACTTAACCCTGTCGACCTACTGTATATTGGATTCATTGCCAGCACTACCTCTGATACCCTAATAAGACTTAAATTAATTATACACATACATATTTGTTATAACCTATAATAAATATGACTAATGAGTTTTTCACTTTACAATTTTTATCAGATTATAATATTATAACTTAATGATGAAATGATATTGTAGGCCATATAAAGAATATTTAGATATCTTAAAATATAAATTAGAAGAATTGACATAGAATAATGATTCTAATGTTTTTAATTTATTGACTTATTCAAAATGTTAACAACAAAGGCATTTAAAGTTCCTTAGATATGTCTTTTTTTCGTCATATAATTATATAAAAAAAAGAATAACCAGCTAAAACTGGATTGAATATTTATATTTAACTTCAAAATATTGAAGGCAAACCAACTTATTATTTAATAAACAAATGTTTGTGCATACTATATCTTTGGATACTCAAACATGTCTCTGTGTTTGTTTTCTTGATAGCTCATTAATATATATCAATAGTGGTCTATAGTATTTGGTTTGTTTCAGCGCAGAACAAACTTTTTTAAAGAAAACGGATGGATGTAGTGACGCACCCGGTGAGTCCTCTCAACGTGTTCTCTGTCCAATTGATTGTAACTGTGCCCCGCTCTTAGACATTAACTTTCCTAGATATTTGATAGGCCTGCACGGGTGGGTATAACTAACTATCTTATCGATTTCTGCCGTATAATAATTGTACAAAAATATATGTAAGTTTTTCTATTCATGTCTCAAGATGGGATGGCATTTACATGATGTAGTCCATTGACCTCACTAGTCACTTAAACACCCAAAATTTTGTGAGCTCTGCTGTTTTTTTTTTATTGCCCTTGTAGGCAGACGAGCATACGGCCCACCTGATGGTGAGTGGTTACCGTCGCCCATGGACTTCAGCAATGCCAGGAGCAGAGCCAAGCCGCTGCCTATTGAAATGACCATGATATAAGTAATTTTTTCCTAAGTAAATATTTAACATGTATTTACGAATACTATCACCGTATAGGACTTCTTCTTCTCAGACGTACACTCCTGGCGGAGTGGTCGTGGTTATCCATGTCTTATTGCTGGGTTGCGACTTTTGAGAGACTTCTTTATCTCTCTTAATTTGTGTCGGTACGTGTACATTCAGTAAGGGAAAACTTAGTAGATGACTTAAGTCTGTCCACCTTGTGGGTAATCGGCCGCGAGAGCGTTGACCGTCTAATGTTTAGGACTTAATGTGCAATTAACGTTAAAGTGATAAAAAGTCTACATTTTGTAATCAATTAAGAGGGTCTTGCGAGGGTTGCAAGACGTCATGATGATGATGATGATTTTAATGTACCCCCACAATGCTTGGATTAGTTGAACAAGCCTCCGGGTCAATAACTCGATGTGTCATCGTTTTGTTGATTATATTATTATATAATTCATTAACCTGTTAAGGTAATTAATTGAACCGGCCGCACTTCTCTATAGATGGCTGTTTCATTGAATGAAAGTTGTCGACGTCGCCCAAAACACGTCATTACGGATCCTCCCGATCCATTAACGTTGCTTTTAGGTACCTCAAGCTCCGGTCACCGTCCTCGCCGAACCGGTCGCTTGCGACGAAGGGCTCGACGAGCGAATTAACCCATAGATACAGCCCACTGAGTTTCTCGCCGGATCTTCTCAGTGTGCCGCGTTTCCGATCCGGTGGTAGATTCTGCGAAGCACTGCTATTGCTAGGGACCAGTGTTAGCAACACTCCGGTTTGAGCCCCGTGAAATCACCTACACGCCAGGGCGAAGCTGAAATAGCCTCTCAAGACTATCAGCATAGCTTAGCAGCTTTAGTTAAATTTAAATACAAATTATAGCCAATGAAACGCTTAGATTTTGATCACTGCGCCATCTACTAGATGATTACCCAACTCGGGTACTAAAGCATCGTGTCGTTATAGACACGATCCATTGAGTTTCTCGTCGGATCTTCTCAGTGGGTCGCGTTTCCGATCTGGTGGTAGATTCTGCGAAGCACTGGCTCTTACTAGGGCTAGTATTGGGTATTCTTTCAGGTTGAGCTCGTGAGCTCATCTACCGGTCTCAGAGTAACTGAGAGAGAGAGAGAGAGAGTATTCTTTATTGTACACCAAAAAAACAAATAATACAAGTGCGATACATTAAAAACAAAAAGTACAACTGATAAATCCCCTTAGGCTACCAGCGAATAGGTAGGAAAAAAAGAAAGCTAATAAGTCACACCGCCATGTGTTAGTACCTTATAGAGCGTACAGGATAGTCATATAACCCTTTTTCGTAAATTAAACAAATAATTTGAAATAAAAAAACAATTACTTTGAAAAGACAATCCTTAAAATCAGGTAGGTAATTTAAGACGTTCGTCCCGGACAAAGATCGTGTAACGGAAATTTGAAAACACAAATTGAATTCCAGACATTTATTTATAAACGGCGTGATTATATAAAAATGGCATCCTAACTGTTATGTCGGTTAGAAATAGTTCATTATGAATACATTTAAAGAAAAACATTTATTAATTAAAAACTTTAAAACTCTTAAAAATGATTTTTCTTAGCCTGATTCGCTCACTTGTCATTTACTAAAAGGATTAGTTCAGTTTTGCATAGTACACTTAATAATACTGTTTAAAATATTAATTTTATTTGAGATAAAAGGCCTTTAAATTTTGTTTTCTTATTTATATTACAGAAAACGTAATTAAGTATTTTATTGTTCATTCATTCTGGAGTATTTGATATCATTATATACATGAAGTTATCTGAAAACTTCCATTAATCCTACAATAATATTTATTAAATACCGAATTGATTGAACGTCAGTTCTGTACTGTGATTGGCCACATGTAGGCAGCGGCCTGGCTCTGCCCCTGGTATTGCTGAAGTCCATGGGCGACGGTAACCACTTACCATAAGGTGGGCCGTATGCTCGTCTGCCTACAAGGGCAATAAAAAAATGTCCACGCCTCCTCCTCATTCCTTCCTGTAGATGTGGTTAGGCGACCTGGGGTTACCAGAGAATCGGTAGCACACGACTATACACTGGTAGGCCGTGTTGTGAGCCCTCACCTGCCTCATCCTGCCGCAAAACTATCATATTTCATTCCGCCTGTTCATTCATCTACTAATAAATAAATAAAAAGTGAACTTAAGCCTTGCACCGTCATTAGGAGCTGTGGGTCAGCGACCTCGCCTACATCACTTGTTTGTTTGTTTGCTATTGCTATCTTCTTGCTAATCTTCAAAATCCACAGCCCACTGAGTTTCTCGCCGGATCTTCTCAGTGGGTCGCATTTCCGATCCGGTGGTAGATTTGGCGAAGTACTACTCTTGCTAGGGCCAGTGTTAGCAACACCCCCGATTTGAGCCCCATGAGGTCACCTACTAGCTCGGTGAATCTAGAATAACCCCTGGAGGTTACTCGATAGGAAAAAATAAAAAAGTGTGTGTGTCCGCTCCGACGCACGACTGGAGTTTACTGGATATAAAAAATTAAACGAAACAATACGAGAAATAGTTCTATATTACGACAACACGATACACTACAGATTATTAACAAATTAACGAGACACAAAACAAACGACTAACAAATATATGAAAATACAATAATGAGAGAAACGCGCGATCANATTTGAATATAATCGTCTCCTTCAAAGAATACGGTTCAAAACCTGCATTAAATAAAGGTTAATAGTTAACCTGTTATTTATCTAAGATGTCGTTCCGAAGAGTTTTGTGACTGCCAATGGAATACAAAGTCAATAATTCGTTTTTCTGATTTACCAATCATTGTCCAAAAGTCAGATTGCCGCCTTTGATAATAGTCGACTCACATGTGCCTGTCTATTGCAAGTATAAAAAGCATAGTTCATTGACATAGTATATAGCCTCTAAATAATACTCTCGGCTTTTGAAAGAAATATATAAGAAAAAATACTAATACTGATAGTATTCTGAATTATTAAAATGTAAAAAATATCAATAAACAACAGAATAGTTTATCGCCCTGCTTCGCTTGTGGCATTAATCATTTAATACAAATGATATTGCACTTTTTTTAATTTGGTGATGGTTTTAACTAAATACAACCAATCTTAAATATTATTGTAAATAAACATTACAGTAACTACGGAAAAGGTCAACGCTTTAGTTTTATTTTTTATTTTTATTTGGTAAAGGGTTTACAATTACACGGCCATACAATTACACGATGTGCCATCACTTCTATCTCTGTCGCTCGTAATCGGTAAGTGTGTTTAGTGTGAGTTTTTTAACGTTCTCGATAGCGTAAAAGTTAACTCAATAAGGCAAACTTTCCAACTCCATACAAATATGAGTTAACGTTTACGCTATCGAGAACGTTAAAAAACTCTCACTAAGCGCACTGTTCAAGTAGTCCCGAACTTGGATGTCTCTCACTGTTGCTTGGTAGAGAGTTGCTTTCGCCAACACCTTCAGATTCAACGTTCCGCCTCTTAGTTTTTGCCTTCAAACAAATCACTTCTAGAATTTTCTATTTAAATAACTCATAAATAATCGAATACTCATTATTGACAGCATGTAGTGATAGGTCCACACAGTTCTCACTGCTGCCTACATTGCGTCTGCCCAAGCATATACAATATCTATCATAGTTCAAGCAAGTATTTCTTAAACAGAATATAAATAGCACTGTTCATAACTATGAACGCTTCGAGATTAAACTAAAACTTACATATGTAGGTCTTTTAAGTAACTCACATTTAGCTTGACAAGTCCATTCTCGACGACTTTACCCTGAAAAAAGTTCTCTGAATCTCGAACATTGAGTTCAAGTTAGACAACACTAAAACGTGTACAACTTTGAATTGAATTTTAAATAAATAAACCTGACAGTGAAATGGATTTGAATCTTTAAACCGCTTGTATCTAGAGTTATCTCGAACTACGATTATTATTTGATTTGACTGCGAATATAATTTATAATTTAAATAACTCTGAAACCGCCCCGGGATAAATACACTACGTCGCTTAATCGACATTAGTACGTTCTCATAGTCATTTCGAACACCCTTTTTATTCCATAAGCTATCCACGTTTAGCTCTACGTGTAATAATAATTTTATTTCATCACGAACTTAACCCTGTCGACCTACTTTATATTGGATTCATTGCTATCACTACCTCTGATAACCTAATAAGACTTTTTAATTAATTATACACTTATATATTTGTTATAAATTATAGTAAATATGACTAATGAGTTTTTCACTTTACAATTTTTATCAGATTATAATAACTTAATGATGGAATGATAGATAGTGTAGTCCATATAAAGAATATTTAAATATTTTTAAAGATAAATTAGAAGAAATGACATACAATAATGATTCTAATGTTTTTAATTTATTGACATATTCAAAATGTTAACAACAAAGGCATTTAAAGTTCCTTAGATATGTCTTTTTTTCGTCATATAATTATATAAAAAAAAGGAATAACCAGCTAAAACTGGATTGAATATTTATATTTAACTTCAAAATATTGAAGACAAACAAACTTTTTATTTAATAAACAAATGTTGGTGCATATATATCTTTGGATACTCAAACATGTCTCTGTGTTTGTTTTCTTGATAGCTCATAAATATATATCAATAGTGGTCTATAGTATTTGGTTTGTTTCAGCGCAGAACAAACTTTTTTAAAGAAAACGGATGGATGTAGTGACGCTCCCGGTGAGTCCTCTCAACGTGTTCTCTGTCCAATTGATTGTAACTGTACCCCGCTCCTAGACATTGACTTTACTAGATATTTGATAGGCCTGCACGGGTGGGTATAACCATTATAATCAATTTCTGCCGTATAATAAATGTACAAAAATATATGTAAGTTTTTCTGTTCATGTCTCAAGATGGGATGGCATTTACATGATGTAGTCCATTGACCTCACTAGTCACTTAAACACCCAAAATTTTGTGAGCTCTGCTGTTTTTTTTTTATTGCCCTTGTAGGCAGACGAGCATACGGCCCACCTGATGGTGAGTGGTTACCGTCGCCCATGGACGTCAGCAATGCCAGGGGCAGAGCCAAGCCACTGCCTACAAAAATGATGCCTACCGAAATGACCATGATATAAGTAATGTCTTTCCCAAGTAAATATTTCACATGTATTTACGTATATACTATCACCGTATAGGACTTCTTCTTCTCAGACGTACACTCCTGATGGAGTGGTCGTGGTTATGCATGTCTTATTGCTGGGTTGCGACTTTTGAGAGACTTCTTTATCTCTCTTAATTTGTGTCGGTACGTGTACATTCAGTAAGGGAAAACTTGGTAGATGACTTAAGTCTGTCCACCTTGTGGGTGATTCGCCGCGAGGGCGATGACCGTCTAATGTTTAGGACTTAATGTGCAATTAACGTTAAATTGATAAAAAGTCTACATTTTGTAATCAATTGAGAGGGTCTTGCGAGGGTTGCAAGACGTCACGATGATGATGATGATTTTAATGTACCCTCACAACGCTCGGATTAGTTGAACAAGCCCTCGGGTCAATAACTCGATGTGTCATCGTTTTGTTGATTATAAATAATTCATAAACCTATTAAAATAAGTAATTGAATCGGTCGCACTTCTCTATGACTGCTTAATTATATAAAGTCATCAGTATCTTGAAACTATTAAAGCGCCATCTGTTGTCCGTTGATGGTACTGGGACGCAAACCTTTCTTAGGTCGTCAACCACTACTGTACCAAGGTCCATCGCAATCTGACCCGAACGGTCCAGGGCACAAACATTAATCTTTAGTTAAATTTAATTAAATAAAAATATGATACATTTAGATTTTGATCACAGCGCCATCTAGTAGATGATTACCAACTCGGGTACTAAAGCATCGTGTCGATAGATATAGTCACGATCCACTGAGTTTCTCGCCGGATCTTCTCAGTAGGTCGTGTTTCCGATCCGGTGGTAGATTCTGCGAAGTACGGCTCTTGCTAGGGCCAGTGTTGGCAATTCTTTCAGGTTGAGTACACCTACCGGTCTCTGAGTAGCTGAAATAGCCCCAGCAAATAGGTAGGGGAAAAAAGAAAGCTAATAAGTCACACTGCCATATGTTAGTAACTTATAGAGCTTACAGGATAGTCATAACCCTTTTTCGTAAATTAAACAAACAATTTGAAATAAAAAAACAATTATTTTGAAAATAAAATCCTTAAAATCAGATAGCTAACTTAGGATGTTCGTCCCGGACAAAGATCGTGTCACGGGAATTTGAAAATACAAATTGAATTCCAGACATTTATTTATTAACGGCATGATTATATAAAAATGGCATCCTAACTGTTATGTCGGTTAGAAATAGTTCATTATGAATACATTTGAGGTTCGCGGGGATCCGCTGGATGCAGGCAGCGCAGGACCGGTCTTTGTGGCGAGGCTTGGGGTAGGCCTATGTCCAGCAGTGGACGTCCATGGGCTGATAGATAGATAGATAGAATACATTTAAAGAAAAACATTTATTAATTAAAACCTTTAAAACTCTTAAAAATGATTTTTCTTAGCCTGATTCGCTCACTTGTCATTTACTAAAAGGATTAGTTCAGTTTTGCATAGTACACTTAATAATACTGTTTAAAATATTAATTTTATTTGAGATAAAAGGCCTTTAAATTTTGTTTTCTTATTTATATTACAGAAAACGCAATTATTTTATTGTTCATTCATTCTGGAGTATTTGATATCATTATATACATGAAGTTATCTGAAAACGTCCATTAATCCTACAATAATATTTATAAAATACCGAATTGACTGAACGTCAGTTCTGTACAGTGATTGGCCACATGTAGGCAGCGGCTTGGCTTTGCCCCTGGTATTGCTGAAGTCCATGGGCGGTAACCACTTACCATCAGGTGGGCCGTATGCTCGTCTGGCTTACAATTGCAATAAAAAAAATGTCCACGCCTCCTCCGCATTCCTTCCTGGAGATGTGGTCAGGCATCCCGTAGTCACTGGTAGCACACAGCTATACACTGGTAAGCCGTGTTGTGAGCCTTCACCTGCCTCACCCTGCCGCAAAACTATCATATTTCATTCCGCCTGTTCATTCATCTACTAATAAATAAATAAAAAGTGAACTTAAGCCTTGCGCCGTCATTAGGAGCTGTGGGTCAGCGACCTCGTCTACATCACTTGTTTGTTTGTTTGCTATTGCTATCTTCTTGCTAATCTTCAAAATCCACAGCCCACTGAGTTTCGGATCTTCTCAGTGGGTCGCGTTTCCGATCCGGTGGTAGATTCTGCGAAGCACTGCTCTTGCTAGGCCCAGTGTTAGCAACACTCCTGGTTTGAGCCCAGTGAGCTTACCTACTAGCTCGATGAATCTAGCTAAATGGTTTGAAGGGTGGGGCAGCCGTCGTTACTATACTTGAGACCTTAGAACTTGTATCTCAAGATGGGTGGCGCATTTACGTTGTGGATGTCTATGGGCCCCAGTAACCACTTAACACCAGGTGGGCTGTGAGCTCGTCCACCAATCTAAGCAATAAAAAAAAAAAAAAAAAAAAACCCCTGGAGATTACTAGAGTAGGTAGGAAAAAATAAAAATGCTCATACATATTCAGTTTCTATATCAAAACGTTGCACATTCGGCCCATAGATTAATATTAGTGATAAGATAATAAATCTCAGAATATATATGATTTTCAAGAATTCAGTGCATTTATCTAGAAATAAAATATTTTCATAAAATGACTGCCCTCGACAATAGATTATTTGGTTCAAGCTCGGAATTTCCACAACCTAATCCTCTAAGCTCATAGAATCAAAATAAATTATTGTATATTGACGAATACACGGTTTTTATTTATTTATTGCTTAGGTGGGTGGTTGAGCTCACGACCCACCAGGTATTAAGTGCGTTACCGGAGCCCATTGACGTCGACAACATAAATGCCGCCATCCACCTCGAGACACGAGTTCTAAGTCTCAAATTTCAACGGCTGCCCCACCCTTCAAAACCGAAACGCATTACTGCTTCACGGCAGAAATAGGCAGGGTGGTGGTGGTACCTACCCGTGAGGACTCACAAGACACCTTTTAACACTAATTTTGTTCACTAATCTTGATTTCTAACTCATTTCTAGTCTATTCATTCATTCATAGTCTATATTAATTACAAGGCCTAATGTTCCCAAGGATTGATATCATCATCATTTGCAAAACTGCAAATCTAAGTGAGAGTCCAACACGGTCACTGGTTGGACCTCACCTGCCGACTCCCCTGGGGTCATTGCGACCTGTCTATTTCAGCTGTAGGACTTTGATCTTGAAGCTTTAACCCACATCTTAAGCTAAGCGATGTCTCAAATCAGGTGGATCTTTAAGTCACGTAGGCCGAGGACTCTTTTTTTTTATTGGCTTTATAGACTAGCATAGACACGGTCAACCTGATGGTGAGTCGTTACCGTCGCCCATGGACGTCAGCAATGCCAGGGGCGGAGGCAAGCTGTCTACCTTTGCTCGTTGCTATAGGTTGAAACTTTTGGCCCGTCGTATGAAACTAAACATTCAAAATGTTTCTTTCAGATTCCCGCATCACGAATGAAGAGAAAACAAAATCATAACTGAAATTTGTCTAGGGATATTTGAATACATTTGTTGTTGGGTTCGTCAAACAATATTGTGCGGTTGTCTCAGAACGATTTGTATACGGACGATATAATAATTGAAATCCTAGTCTTCCGTTTTCTTGCGTTGTCCTCTCTCGTACTGCTCTCGTGATTGTGTTTCCGAGCGTCGATTCTCAATATCTTTAGAAGAAATATCTAAATATAAAGATGGTTGTGATGGAAGGAAAGACGGAGCAGCGGAGACATCGCTCTGTCCCTCTCGCACGTACCTCATGACAATGGCTCTGACGTCACGAACCAATATGTGTGTCCTGTTTCGTTGATAATTCCCCCTACTCTATGAGAAGTTTTAGAACACGTTGTACTGAGAATCGAGCCTTAAATCTGGCTTCTTGTGCTAATCATTTTATTTATATGAGGGAAAAAAAAACAAGTATTATTTTTTCGTTTCCTTATTCCGTGTATTCAAATATTGTGACAATTGCAGATCAAACATATAATTGTATAAATAAAAGGCATGTATGTCTCCATTATATTTCGTTCCTAGTTTTTATGTTAATTAAAAAACACTTTTGTATATACAAAACGTAAGGTGACCAAACGTTTGGTTGTTGTTACTAAGGCGATTTCGCGATTGCTAATAAATTAAATCGCATCGGGAAATTACCAACAGATTGTGAATAAATCAAGGACTCTTCTTCTTAGTTTACTTTGTCACTACGTCTAATGAAATCACATGTGAGAATGGTACCGACAAAGGCGACTACCCGTGGTCCAGGGAGTGGGGAGGCGCGAGGGGTCATGGGGGTAATGTTTGCACACCGATGCCTTTATCTAACTAGGTAAAAAAAAACGGTGTGCGTGCAACTTGGTACACGTGAATGAAGTGAAACTTCTTTTTCGATGTGTAGTATTATGGTTTTCTTCATTTTTCATCCTTAAATCGGATTGCTCTTGTAATAGGGAATGCTGTGTATAAGAGATGCGACATCTTAAACATTTATATTATATATATTTTAAATAGAAAAATTAATATCTATATATTTTTTTTAAATACTTCCTTAATGCTAACGCTCGCGCTGGCCTGTAACAGTTATACTTTGCTACTGACACTTTCGCTCTATTTATTTCTAGTATGGTAGCGTTACGTTTAACGCAACCTTGTTGGAAGTCGCATAAGAAGTTTCACTTCAAAAAAAAGCAGTCGATCAGAGTATCATTTTCGGATAATATTAAAACTATTTTTTGTATATTTAATTAAGTGCTTAGTTCGAAAGCGGAGCAGCTGTTGTATAGTTTAATTTGGACCGACATATCGCAAGGCAGGTGGCGTCGTGGCGTGACCTCTCCTCACCAGGTCCTGATCCCATCTACCGGTCCGGTGCAATGAAGAAAAGTACCGCATCCCGAAAGAACGTAATCGCAAAAAGCCTTAATAGGCCTTTAATATTGTACAGAGAGCCAGGGCCGCGTGTACAGTGTTCAATTATCAAAATTTAAAAAAAACTATATGTATACATGGTGTTGTTATTTTTAAACGTGAATATTTATATTTGTGGTCCATTGAACGTTAAGACTCGGTTTTGATTGGTGTGCGTGTTTTTTTTTTTTATAAATGTAAAATAATTTTTAAATTGTTTATTTTGAAGTAAGTGCGCACTCGTGATAAACCGTAATGAAATGGCGTATCTAAAACGGCCGTGGCTTGAAACGTAGGATATAAAGCGAAATTTTATTATTTTGAAACGACACACAAGATTTATATCATAGAACTGTAAAGTCGTATGTCGGTGTCGCGAAGGAAACGAAAAGCAATTATATTTTTTTCAAGTTAAAGTTTCCCTTCGGACGTTCGCATGTGACTTTTATCGCTGGATTAATAACTTTTGATTTCGCGTAATTAACTCGTGTATAATAAATATGAGCCGTCTATTATCAAAGGTGGCAATCTGTGCATTTGGACAAAAAAATGTTATTGATATGGCAATACAGATTGATTTCAATATCAATCGTCTCCTTCAAAGAATACGGTTCAAAACCTGCATTAAATAAAGTATTAACTTAACCTGTTATTTATCTAAGATGTCGTTCAGAAGAGTTTTGTGACTGCCAATGGAATACAAAGTCAATAATTCGTTTTTCTGATTTAACAATAATTGTTCAAAAGTCACATTGCCAGCTTTGATAATAGTCGACTCATATGTACTATTAAATTGGGAGTTCTCTGTTCTGATTTTTGTTATTTACTAAATGAAGTTTTGAAATCTGTTTGTGTTTTAAATTCAGTAGCGGCCTTTAGTGAAAATGTGAGTGAACGATTGTAAATATATTTGTCCGGTGTGCTTAGTGCGAGTTTCTTAACGTTCTCGATAGCGTAAAAGTTAACTCGATTTTGTATGCAGTTGGAACAGCGCCCCTAGCGGCAAACGTACGCAAACGAACCCACTCCATACAAATATGAGTTAACTTTTACGCTATCGAGAACGTTAAAAAACTCGCACTAAGCAGACGGGTGGAAGTAGGAATGGCGTGCTATCTTCGTGTGAGCTACAACAATATACAATATGTGAGACAAATATCGACAATAGCACGAAAAGATCAGTTCTAAGACTATAGAAGATCAACTTCTCGAGAGGATGGATTAAAAAAAAAAACATTAAATTTTTATTTTATTTCAGCGCCTTATTAAATTTTAAATTGATTATTTGAAATACGTTTACACTGCCAATAATCTTAGAATTTATAATCTTTTATTAGGATCAATGACTTGAAGTGTTTTTTAATTTCAAAATTCATATTGTGCATCGCTAATTTTATTTATTTAGTGTTTTTAGACATTAGTGTCGAGAAAAGGTAATTGCTTAAAAGTTAGTGAATATTTCATTAACCCGCCGTGTAAAGCGAAATATCACGCCCGTCGCGAACAGTGAAGAGCGTTGACCCCGCGCGGCGGCGGTACTGTTACATTGCGGGCAGCGAGAGACAAGTTCGCGATACATTACCAGCTGTCTTCCAAACAATTCATTTAAACAATGATTGTGTTCTCGTGTTTGGAGATGCGTGTATGTGTGTGTTCAAACTGTTGCCGATCGTATGTCGGCATTACATTACATACGTATTTAAATAATAAATAAATAAAATCCTTGTACGATTTATAAAATCGTCACATTTTTTTTACTTTTGGCGCTGTTGAATAAGATCGTTTATTTTTAATTAAATAATATTGTATATGTGTGTTGTGAGACTCCTCCTGAATATACATTTCAAAACACACTAATGAATGCATTCAAAATTATTGCTCCACGATTTGTAGTGTTTACGCATATCGATAATTGATAAGGAGATGCCAAAAGCGCCTTCCACTGGACAAGGGATTCTGAAGTAATGTTAAAACTAAATTAATAATTTTGTCCAATTGCCTAAACGACTGATTTCCGCTTTCACGAATAGAAAACTTATTTATGAATCTAATTGAGATCTTGAATACTCCTCACTTTCGTTGACTATGGTTAGAATTTTTAATTAACAAAATGTATTTCTTAACTAGCGCAATACTGCCTACAGAATCGATTTAATGCAAATTTATTTTCACTAATTCACATTATAGAATGGAGTTTAGTCGTAAAATATGATAAGTAAATAATAAGTATTATATGAATATGAAACTTAATGTTAATAACATAATAAATACAGTAATTGATTTAATAAGTGATCATTGTGGATGAGGTTAATCATTTAAAATCTTTCATAATTTTTAAATAGCTATTTATATATATAATTGGTTTTGCATAATATTATTTATTATCTTTCATTTCTGAATAGAAATAAAAAGATAACAATTTCTATTTTTCATAATTAATATAAATGTTCTGTATGTTGTTACTGTTTTTTTTTTTTGTTAAAAACTATGAGTATTAGTAGTATTCATATTTGAATTTGGCAAATTGTATCAGTTGTCATGTGTCAAAGTCACGTTATGTCAAAATGGCTCTTTTCTTGACCTTTTCTTGACTTTCTAATAAACATTCTTAGCTACTCACTTAATTCTTACAATCTGTGTCCTTATTCGTTCATGAAGCCCGCTATAGAAAGCAGAGTATTATATACACTTGACACTTGACATTGGCGAAATCTAAAAGGAAATGCCATAAACCTAAGAGATAGATAGACATTCTATTATATAGGTTCTCACCTTTTGCTTCTAGCTTTAAATACACTTAAATGCAGCACTAAACCCGCAGCAAAATAACATTGTCATCATCGACAACTAAGCATAGTTGAATAGCAAGAGGTATCTTTGAGAAACTTATTCAGAAACATTTTTAATAATTAAATGCCGTTGTAGATCATACCAGGTCACCTGATGGTGAATGGTTATCGATGTTCATGGACATCAGCAATAGTATCCAAAGCCTCGTTCGAAGAAGGACATGTCATGTAGGTAGCAGATACAATGTGAATGTGGATGAATTTTCGTTAAGAGTATTAATTAGTCGCGTTTGGACGTTTATTTGTATCACAAATATTTGACCCTCCGCGAAATCGGGGTTCAAATTGATTTCCTCTACTTCTAAATATAAATCTAATTCCTCTTTCTAACCGTAAGCATCGAACTGAGATAGGACATATTTAATCGGTCAATATATATGTATAAACATTTATATTTAGTGGAGCAATAATTTTAATACCATTATTTTTGTGGATTTTGTAAAATTTCAAATAAGATTTTCGTTGTGATTGTGTTCTTTTTTTTTTGTTTTAAATTAGATCAAAACATTGAATGTGGAGTGACAAAATCTATTCAAAATTATGCCCAAATGTATTTAATTATGAATAAAAATATTTATAATGAAGATAATGTTTTGTTTAATTTTGAGCCCACTGAGTTTCTCGCCGGATCTTCTCAGTGGGTCGCGTTTCCGATCCGGTGGTAGATTCTGCAAAGCACTGCTCTTGCTGGGGCTAGTGCTAGCAACGTCGTCAGGTTTGAGCCCCGAGAGCTCACTTACACGTTAAGGGTACGCTGACAAGCCTCTCAAGGCTATCAGCATAGGTAGAGGAAAAGAAACAAGACATCTCATTAACGACTATGAAATTTTATGATTTCGTAGTAATATTTTTAATTCTTGCAATTGTAACATAATTAATACGAGGTTAAAGTCTGGAAGTCTATCAGGTTAAGTGGGAAGGAAAAAAAAATGTTAACATCTGTTTCGCTGACACGTTCAAACCACAATGGCGATGGCGTCATGAACCGAAACTTTCAGACCTATTATAGTGCATTATTTCACTATAAACTATTAGTCCCACCATAATCTCATTTGTCAGCGATCTTAAATGTTTCTACTATATTACTACTACTTATTCACACAAAATAATTCAAAACACTTTAAGATCGTTAACTTAATTTAAAATTAATTCAATTTAATTTCCTAAAATAACTCTTTGATAGCAAACGATATCAGAAATAAATGAAAACATTAATACGAATATTCTTTATTAAGTT